AATGATATGTAATATCTACATTGCACCCATCGATAAATCTGCACTATCAATTATTACGTAGATGTGAAAACTACGTGCTGCAGAAGACAATTTTTTTTCTTCGATATTACAGTGACGATAATTCAAGACGTCAATAACTTGAAATATTCTTTTCTACAAAAGCAGATGCATACACAAAATTTTCTTGACTCCACCATGTTGTACCAGATTGTTACCAATAAATAGTAAAATACTTTGTGTTCTAAACGCTGTGCTTGATAATCAAATTGTAATCGCCAGATTTCTTAGAATTTGATTTGGTTGATCAAACCGCCGTTCTTATAATTGAAAGATAGTTTTAAGATATATTTAGGGTAACATTTTAAGTTAAGATAACTTTAAGTATCATTTGTCTGCTAACAACTAATGGAATTTTGTAGATTATTGGGTCTAACAAACGAGAAGCGTCATGGAACAATTAGCCGGCACGATTCGTCTTACACAAACAACTTGATTATACGCTTCTTGTAGATCCTAGAAATTAATTCTACGTTTCATTCGTGCCAATTGCTCGCGTATCGTGTTCATTTAACACTAAATGAACTGTTACGGAATTTAGACATTTTTCCTGAAAATTTTCTGACAATTAAATCGATTTCTAATTTTTAATAAATAGATATTGATGTCATCACAATTATTTTCTTATAACTTTTTAAAATTTCCACAACCTTGCAGAACTATCCTCGGAAATTACACACTATATTACACTTTTCTGAATAAAATATCTAAATCTATGTGACAATAATTACACACACAAAAATTAACGTTGACGTTAGCTGTCATTCACCAAACTTTACATACATTATCGACATGTAGCTATACCTAACATTGTATTAGCGATTTCTAGTGGTAAAGAAATTAAAATATGAATAGAAAAAGCTCTGTTTGAAAGGGTGATGTGGCATAAAAATTGATTGGACGATTGTAGACACTCACACTGGCATCGGTTCTCCCTTTCTTGGCATATTCGCTATAGACGTCATGTTCGTCGGTCTGGCAATGCTGATCTGGAAACGAGCTTTCAAAGCAGGCTCGTCGAAGCAAGGAAAAGCGCGTCGTGCATCCGTCGCTTGAAATTGAGTGGTGGCGATCCATCTGTAATAGAAAACCGAGGGGAACTTTGGTAAACAGCCATTGGGAAAGCCTTGTTTACACTTCTATGGACTCCGTCCAAACTCATCCCATGACGATACCCCTGGCTACCGCAGCTATCAGAGACAAGAATCATGAAACAGACACTCTTCTATTCAACAGGGTCGCAGAGCTTAGGGAGATGATGTTGAACTGTGCAAATTCACAGACATTTCCTGCACCGGAAAGAAATGCCATCCTGCACCGCCGTAAGTGGAAGTTCCGTCGAAACGAACTGCTGCAGATGGAATCTTCTTTACTTTTAAGAGAGACTTTCATCATTTCTTTTTGTGTAAAATATCGACTTTTCGCAGAATCCTACAGTTTAGCTTTTTAGCAATTTCTCTATGAAATCTTAAAGTAGAATTCTACGTTAAGATAATATGTTTTCAAGATTATCGAAATGATTCGATTACCAACAACTATAAAAATGAGCCGCAAGGCTCGATTAATCGGATCTCCTCTTCCCAAATTGACCATTTTTGTGCTCAGTCTGGGCGTCAATTGGGGAGAATTTACATTATTTAGTTACAGCTTTTGTGTTTTCATCGAACTGCTTTCGCAGATGATTGACATGATCGAAAAGAAACTACTGGACTAATCAACTTGAAATTGTAATTGTACATTAACCCTCAGCACTAACCCTAAGGAAGGGTCAAAAAATGTCCACAGCATTTTAAACGTGTATTTTTGTTCTAACGATGTTCTTTCATAAATTTTTTATATTTTTTATTTTGGTAAGTATCTAAATGTTAATGCATTTAAATAATTTTAACAGTTCCCGTGAGAAGTGCCAATGTTTCCATCGGTGCTCATCGATACATTATCTTTTTAAATTATATTGGTACCCGAAAAATTTCGGTCGGGTCGGGACCCGAATGCTTGTGACACTCAGGTACTCGAAAATTTCGGATACCAAATATCGAAATCGAGTCAAGTAGTACTTAGATCGAGTCGGTAACTCTAAAATCGATTAGCAATAACTAACCCGACTTCGATGACGGGTATTCAAGTATGATAAATTTTTGGATTGCGATCCGAACCCGAAATGTCGGGTATAAACCTTTGAGACCACCACTCTTTCTCACACCGTAGGTTTGAGAAACTGGACCCTTTTTATAAATATCTGAATAAAATGCGGCTGTATATTTATCAAACCTCAATTAACAATTCTTATCACAGGTGTTCCAATTCTATTCTTACTCATACTGCACAGCTATTGGCGAGACACGTGAAAATCAAACAAACACATTGTTTGCTTATGAGTTGAACTATACAAATATTTGCTAACTTATTATCGAAACATAATCAAAGGTTGTAGGAAATATAATTTCATAAATCAAATAGCTTCACTCTGTATCTTTCCGTTTCTCATCGAAAACGGTCAAACTAAATTCAATGTTTGTGTTACCTACATCAGAAGTTATGCAATCATAGGTTTGTACGATTTAATCGGTGTGGGTATTTACCTGATCTCATTGCCAACAGTGTAGGAGCTCCTGTAGAAGCCTTGCAAGTAATCGTTCAAATAACCAACAAACTTGAGATGCACAAAGTACTGCTTGCCCCCTTTCAACGTGTCTGAGGTTTTAATCACGTGAAACTGCCGCTCAGTGTCGTTCCTCTGCTCGACTATTCCGATCGCTTTGGTTGCATTGCTTGTGGCTGAATATTCTCTGATATTCGTGAAACTTTCGTCGATGTCCATGCTGGCCGCGTGTAAGGTCACATTTTTCGTGTCCTCGGTCACGTTCACAAGAATCTTCACCTAAAACCGTAATTACATTCTTGCAATTTATGGTAGACAGCACTCGCCACGCCATACACCACTGATGACTATGCGTTGACGACATGCAATATGCAATTACTTAGCTTTGCACGATTACAAGTATTATTAGAAGTACCGAACATTAACACGTCGAATGACATGGGGGTCACCGGTGACCGGCGATGCCAAGATTACTAGAAACATAATTCGAGTAAATTTCAATGCATTAAAATTTGTCATTATTATCATCGTTACTGAAATTGTGTGAAGACCACCAGTGAAATAAATGCGTCACTCATGATTGCATAATAATAAATTACAAATAATATGAAATTCATGTTGACCAGGTGGGCAGACCATGTAAAATTAGGGTGGCATTCAACATGTTCAAATCGACTATTGGATATTTCCTGATAACGATAACAATACTCCATTAATTCCGATTATGCGCGAATGTTATTGTCATTAGACCGCAGATGTTTCTAAAAATTCTTACTTTTGCAGATTATGTGAGGAAAATCAGAATAATAAGAGGATCTATTTTACAAATCCAGTGGTTCTCTATTGTCAAGATAATGTAGAAGTGTCATTATTCTTAGATAATTTGAATTGTCATCATGTATTTTGTGAACTTAGAAATGCAACAAATGCATACAAATCCGTAGTTCAATTATTATACATATTCTAATTGATAGATTAGTAATTTTGCACAATACTTGTTTATAATTTCGTAACTTGTGAAATACATTTCTTCGTACACTCATTTACTGTCTCTTTTGTGGATTTTCTTCT